CAAGAAGTCCCCTGGCCAGCAGAAAGTTGTACCCAACCTTTATGTCCATTTGTTGTCTGGTATGTGCCAAGAGTTAGGCGTTCTCCCTTTGCCCCTCACTGGATTTCAACCACGGTATGTGCTCTGAAAACTTCCCAGTTCTGCCATGTAGGTTCGAATACTGGCTCTGCAATTTACCAGCTGTGTGATTTCCCGTTCCTCTGTTTGCTTACCTGTAACATCGGGTAAAGGTAAAGCCCGCCTCGTGGGGCTGTTGTCGGGACTAAATGAGTGAAAGCAATTGAAGCACTTAGATGGTCCGGACCACCAGCAAGTGTACAGTAAGTATTGACTATCACTATGACTTGATATGCTTTTCCTTTTAACTTGATTTCAAGTATTTAAACATCATTTATCTGATGCTCATTATATATCAAGCCTTGTGTTTATCCTCTGAATATAAGAATGATAAGACATAGTCCTCCTGGGGGAACAGAAACCTTCAGTAAAGGCAGGAACAAACTTTGGTAAAATGTGGCCTGTGCCAGGGCCCCAGAAATGCAGGAGAGCTGATTCCTGCCCTTGGGGAGATCACAGGCTGACTAGGGAGAGAGGCAAGTGGCCCAAATTGGGGAGAGGAGTCCAGAGAACCTCTGGGGGGGGGGGGTGGAGGGATGGGGGGGCTGTCGAGAGACAAGGAGCGCCCTTGTTGGCCTCTGGTCATTTGTGAGATCGTGTGAGAAAAGACCCCCTTCAGAGGGGAGGTCAAGGAATGCCTGGGCTCAATCTTTATTGTTTTTTTTGTTTGTTTGTTTGTTTTTTCAATCTATATTGTTTGAGTGTTGAGAAGTCATCAGCGTTTTTTGAGCAGGGACTTGTGTTTGCATCATAGCAACATAACTAACAGTTATTATGCAACTATTGTATACTACATGCTATGTATACACAATCTTATCTAACATAATCCACACAAAAACACTGTGAAGTGAGTACTGTCACCATTCCCATCTTACAGATGAAGAAACTGAGCCACAAAGGTTAAGTGAGTTGCTCAAGGTCACATAGCGAGGAAGGGGAAGAACAGGCATAAGCCCAGGCAGTCTCACCCAGACCTCATGCTCTTAATCCCTCTACCTTGCTGCCTCTGAACTTCAATCTACGTAACTATCTTAAAACTAGAATGAACCTTGGAAATATCCTGTTACCCCCATTTTGCAGATGAGAAACTGAGGTTCAAAGATGGGGACTAGCTTTCCTAAGACTGCAGAGTGAAGAAGGAGGGGCTGAGCTGGGGAGGTCAATCTGGTCTGCAGGAGGGGCTCCATCCTAGACTCCACAGTCCTAGGCATCCTGCTGTCCCAGCAGGCATCCTTGTGCTTAGAACAAAATCCAAACTCCTTACTGGGGCCTGTAAAGCCCTCATGTGATCAGGCCTTGCTGCATCCCTCTAATCTCACCTGGTCACCACCCTCTCCTCCTCATCACCAGGCTCCAGTCCACCCACCTCAAGGCCTCTGCACTGCTCTTCCCTCTGACAGGAATGCCTTTCCACCTGATTATCATGTGGTTGGGCTTTGTCTTAGTCTGTTTGGGCTGCCATAAAAAAAAATACCATAGACTGTGTGGCTTATAAATGACAGAAATTTAATTCTCATAGTTCTGGAGGCTGGGAAGTCGAAGATCAAGGTGCCTGCAGATTTGGTGTCTGGTGAGAGCCCCGGTCCTTGTTCATAGACAGCCCTCTTCTCGCGGTGTTCTCGTGTTGCAGAAGGGGCCAGAGATCTCTCCGGGTCTCTTTTATAAAAGCACTAATCCCTTTCATGTCCTAGTGCCTCCCAGAGGCCCATCTCCATATACCCTCACATTGAGAATTAGGTTTCAACATATGCATTTTGGGAAGACACACACATTCAACCTATAGCAGGCTCATTCTTGCCATTCAGTGAAATGTTACCTCCTCAGGGCGGTCTTCCCTGATCACCTTTCTAAAGTTACCTGCCATCACTCTCACAGAACCATGTTTTATTTTTTTCATAGCAGTTATGATGATCTGAAATTATCTTTTTTTGTTTTCTTGCTTTTGTGTCTGCCTCTCCCAATTAAAATGTCAGTTACAGGAGAGAAAGGAGGGACCTCATATATTTCTACACTGTATCCCCAGGCCTCAGACAATGCCTGGCACATAGTAAGTGCTCCATACATTTTTGTTGAAATCATACCTGTATTTCATTGTCTGCTGATGGTCCGTCTCCCCACCAGTCAGAGACCTCACAGGTCTCTGGGGCTGGGGCCTTGTCTGATGCACCTTGGCACCACCTCTAGGGCCAGGGCTAGAATATGTCTGTTGCATGACTGAATATGTTTGTTGCATGACTGAATGAGCAAGGATAGAAGGGGTAATGGCATGAGTACCTGCTGGGCTCTCCGTCGGGTGGCCACAGCCATTGCCAAGGGGCTGCCCTTTGTGGGAAGTAATAGGGCTCAAGAGGCTGTTCATGAAACAGAGGGGCTTCCAGGCCTGGGACTAACACCTCCTAAAGCCCCGTCTTCTGCCCCTCTGCAATGGAAATGAGAGGGCAAGAGGGGGGTGGTGGACCTACACTGGGCCTGGGCACCTGTGAGCCTGTCTCTTAGTGGCCTAGGCCAGTGATGGCGAACCTTTTGAGCTCGGCGTGTCAGCATTTTGAAAAACCCTAACTTAACTCTGGTGCCGTGTCACATATAGAAATTTTTTGATATTTGCAACCATAGTAAAATAAAGACTTATATTTTTGATATTCATTTTATATATTTAAATGCCATTTAACAAAGAAAAATCAACCAAAAAAATGAGTTCGCGTGTCACCTCTGACACGCGTGTCATAGGTTCGCCATCACTGGCCTAGGCCCTTAAACATCAACAACCTAATCCCGGGTCTGCTCTCTGCACCCCGCACCCTGTACCCTGGCAGGGTGAGGTGGGCTGTGACTCCCCAGAGGTGGGGCCTTCTCATTCACGCAGAGGCCCTGTCTCCTAAGGGCGGGAATGACAAGTCCCTTCTCTGGAGCCCACGGCCCCTGCCCTTCCCTATCACAGCAAGGTCTACCCTGTTGTCCCTTCTGATTGTCTCCCCTCTGCCGCACCCCCTGGAGAGTCAAATGCGGATGAATGAGAAGTCTGTGCCCCAGGTCCATCCTTGGCCATGGTCCCATGAGCAGGTAGCTTGCACAGATGTACATGGACACATTAACCAGCTTCACGGATGTGTAATGTCCGGGTTGGAGTTGATAAGGCGCGCAGAGATCCAGCCCCACTCCCTTACCTTCTTCCTGATCATGCACATCCTGGTACCCAAACTCCTATCCACCACCACCTCAGCTCCACATACCCCCTGCACAGACCTGTGCACTCAGGAACAACATCTCTTCTCCCACGCAGATTCGCTCCTAGGCTTCCTCAGCCTCCTACCAGCCTGCCACCTCCTCCAGGCAGCCTGTGCTGCTTCCTCTGGGAACAGTGGCCTCATCTGGCTCACCCCAGCGTCTGCAGCGCCCAGCACGCCGCCTAAGCAGGGTCACCGAGATCCTGCCTGGGGAGGAGTGGACCGAGGACGTGAGGGAGAAGGGAGAGGTGGCAGCAGCGAGAGGGACGTTGGGGCGTAGGCGCAGCAAAAGGGAACGCGCGTGAGACAGCGAACTCCCTAGCACGGGGCCGCCCCCACAGCCCGA